ATGATAAACCCATTTGCAAAAGCAAAACAAGATAAAGAAAAAAGTGCCCCTGCAAAAAAAAGAAATATTTGGCGCATCCTTCCAAAATGTATTCACTATCACAGACCACCTACATAAGATTGGAATTTATTACCTGAAAAATCTCTTTAAATCGGTTTTTAGAGACATTTAAAAAAAGAGTGGCCAAAAGCAATACGGAGAAAAGATCAGTAGCCCTGAAATCAGTGCGGTTGATTTTAAAAAGTCACACATCTCAATCCCTCATCATTTTACAAAACAGCTAACAAAGATCGCCCAACGCAGTGTAATCGCCACACACAGTGAGAAAAAAAAAAAAAACGATTCAATAATAAATTAAATATTATTATAAGATATTCATCGCTGTTGGCATCTCCCTCGACCTAAAAAATGCATCTAAAGCGATGGGATCATCGGACATAATGCCATTGATAGGCCAGTTAGACGCCTCTTCAAACTCCTCATCGTCATTCAGCACCCAACCCAAAACAAGAATACCTCGTCGCTGCAAATGTTTCCACAGCACAGGTGAGTTCACAAAATAGGCAATAAAACGTGTAAAGCAAGAGCCTAGCGCTTTCATTTTGCATTTGGTAAAAACTGGAATAGAAAACACATCAAATGCCAAGGGAACCAGAGGAAGCACACCAAGAAAATAAGCCACATAAACAACAAAACAGTCCATGGGCCCCGCAAAAATCCGAAAACGCTTTCTTTTTTTTAGCAGACGCTCACTTTCTGATAAATGCTCTGATACAAAGTAATCGTATATGTGTTTACGATTACGCCAATTACTAGTTCCAACCAAAGTTTTCGTCTCCCGGCCGTATCGCTCAACCAATTTCAACACTTTTTTCGTAATTTCCGCGCCTTCCGATTTGATATCTATGTGAAGAGGAACATCTGGAAACACATCAAAAACTTCCGATAATAGGCATAGACGCGTCGTCTCATCCACTGGAACAGAGTCTGTAGCTTTATAGCATCCTCCTCTTTGAGGGGACTCAAAATGAATTGGAATTTCTCTTAGTGACTGGGGTAGATTCTTGTTTGGATTCCCATCCACAACAATATCAACCACATTTGTCCCTTCATGAAAACTCCCACAAGTCCTTAGGAGAGCTGCATCATGAGAAACAACAATTTCACCATCTCTTGATTGGCGAACATCCAATTCCAACATGTCAGCGTTACCCACGCTTATTGCACGGCCAAAGGTATAAATGGTATTCTCTGGGCCGATCAAGCTGCCACCTCTATGAGCAATTTTCGTTACGGGATAAGGAAAACGCTCTTTAAGAAGTTCTCTCTCCGCACCGAGCCGGAGCGGAAACACACGGACCAATATCCCAGCTCCCATGATGTACCCGCCCAGAAAGAGTATGGCGCAAACCCCACATGACACCATGAGTTCACCCAACTCCCAACGGCAGTATCTTCTCCTAGTTTAAGAGGGGAAACATATATATATAAAGAGTGTAAATAAATAGACGACAAAAATTTATATAAGTAAATAAATAAAAAGAAATTCTTTGATTCGCATAAAAGCATTTTATCTTCAATTAGTTTACAACAATCGCCATTACTGTCCAGTAAAATAAGACAGTTAAAAAAGAAATATCTCCGTGACCTCTTCTGATTCATAGAAACTATTCCTACAATATCAATGACCCTTCCACAAAACAGTGAATGTGCACGGTCATAAAAGCTCGCACCCCATATGACAGCACAGATTTTGGATATCCCATGAGAAACGAATGCACCACACGGCGCTAACCATCAGCCTGCCAGACCAGCTAGTATCAATACCATCATGATAGTGTTCCACAAAATGAACTATCAGTGTACGGAAATCAAGTGAGAAAATCAGTAAATCTGAAAAAAATAAAAGGGTAAAACAAATATTACCCAGCTATACAAAACAATCTTAAAAAAAAAAAAAAAGAGTGGAAAAAAATATTATACGTGAAGCAGTGTATAATCAAAACTTTGCAAAGCAAATAATAGCCAAAAGAGTACCCTTAACTTAAAGTTCATGGCAGATCACACAGTGCCATGCAAAAATATTTTCACCTTATGCAACCAGATGCAAAAAAAAAAATGCGCTGTCAGCGCACAAACAAATATAATTTAAGAAAATCAAGAATAACATATTCCACAACTGTCAACTAAATGTGGATGTTTTTTTTTTTGTTGTTGTTGTTGTTGTTGTTGTTTTTTGATGATGTTTCTTTTTTTTTTTTTTTTTTTTTTTTTACAGGCTCTTTAAGCAATTCTTGTTTCATCTTATTGCCTTTATAAAGTTGGTCGTCAATTTTAAAAGACAATAAAAATAATATGAGCTAAATGAGGCAGTGCCAAAAGTTTAACTAATTTTCACTCAATAGCGAAATTCCCCTCACGCCTTACACACACCCTTGTCAAAGTAAATATAAAAAGAAAAGAAAAAGAAACAAATTTTGTTGGGCTTCTTTTAAACCCCACTCACTCACAATAAATTTCTCCTCTTCAAACAAAAATTCTTTTCACGCAGAGAAAAAAACTTTAGAAAAAAAAACCGTTAAACGACCTTCTGAAAACCTCATCGCCTCCATTTCGGTATGTGCCGTCCCGCCCGCCCACTTTGTGATCCTCACCCTGCGGCGTGGTCTTGCGGCTGGGAGAGCCCAAAATCCGCCACCTCGTGAGTTATGAAGGCACACACACACACTCATATATACATATATATATATATATATATACGCCCAACCCGGATGGAGTGATCACGCCGCGGCGGTGGCCACCACAAAGCGCATACATAAATATGCGCTTCCTTGTGCAAACGCTCATCGAGGATCTGGCGAACTCCGTCCCCATTCCGTTCCCCCTTCTCTTTGTCTTTTGCGGCTCCTGTTGGCGGCCGCAAGGTCCGGTCGGCGGCCCGGATGAATATTCCCTCCACTCTTACCAGCGCGTCTAACCACACGATGCCATCTGAGTGCCGAGGAGGCGGTTGTGCAGCGACAAAAGCTTCCTGCTTTGAAGCAACTGCCATTGAGAGAATTTTCCGAGGCGAAGGCCCTGTTCAATGCCCAGCCGTTGGCGCACAGCCAAGGTGCCTGGACATTCTAGAAGCAGATGGTGCAAGGTTTCCTGCGGGCCAATTGGCGCGCTTGTGGAAGCTGGCTGATCCTGCGGCGGCAGAGATCGCCTCCTGGCACTGCTGTTTCGATGTCGTGTGGCGTCTGGGTTGTGTGCGCAGCGACTTCTGTGCTGTGCGGTACTTCTCCGTGTGGGGAAAACCATGTCACAGAAATCGCATTTGAGCTCGGGAAGCGGTGGAGGATGTTCCGGATGAAATGACCGACAGTGACTGACGAGATTCGAGAATCCCGTCAATGTAGAATCGCAGTACGGACATTTCTCCTTCCGACGACGTGTGATGGTCCGTCTCCTTACTGGAGAGACGTCTTCATCCCTTGCCGACGGGGGAACAGTGCCCGTCCCCGGTGCAGTTGGATCGTTGTTGGAGCGCATATATGCAGACTGTTCCGGTGAGATGTTGCAGAAACGGCATTGGTTCGTGCAATCTCTCGCAGCCCAGTATAGTCGGCCCCAGAGCTCAGATTCGCCGCACCTTGCCCTTGCGAGGTGAATCAGTTCCTGACGGTGAAGAACCTCCTGAGTGATCAGGTCCTTGCCGCTGAGATCGGATGGCCTTGTGCCGCAAAGCAAGTAGCGATGAGTGTCTTGACGAATCGTACTACGCCACTTGTTGGTGAACTGGGTAGTAAAACATGTCAGCAGATCCGTATGCCATAAAGGTGCAATTGCTTGCTCCGTGTATTGTCCAGTCTCCATAGTCTGCGTGGCATACTGATCTGCAAGCTCATTAGCATGTACTCCGCAATGTTCGTAGCAAAACTGCAGCTGCACGGACCAGCCAGCACACGCCAGTGTCAAGAGACGCTGCCAGATCCGACCCTCCGTCCAGTCTGTCTGACTGAGCGGGCCCTTGTTTAAAGCCGCAAGAAGAGACTGACTGTCTGTAACCACAAGCAGGGTTTTATGCCTGTGTTGGATACGAGGGATAATCAGCTTCTCCAGGGCTAGAAGCAGCGCACGGGATTCCGTCCTGTAGCTGCATGGGCGTGCACCGCAGTTTATACTGGCCCTTTCTATTATCTCCGATGAATTGAGGGATGAAAGCAGGATTCCAACCCCGGCAGACTTGGGAATGGCGAAACCGCCATCCGTTGCTAGCATCCACGGTCCCCAGCGATGAAGTCGCACTTTGTCGCGGTGCTGGGGCTTTGGTTGCGTATAGGAACTCCGTAGCAGGGCGTCGCTGCGAGCACGACGGAGACCAAGACGAATTCACCCCTCGAGAAGGTTCCGCGCCATGCCCGGTGTGGGGAGGTGAGGCGGTGTGCCTGCGGACTGTCTGAAAAAACTGCACGACCGTTTCGCAGCGGTCACGCCGTTGATATCACCCGTGGCGGTGACGTCCACAAGAACCATGGCCCGAGGTGGATGGCTACATCAATATTTGGCAGCTTAACATTGCAGGCCTCTCGTCCGTGAAAAAGATTGCGTTTGCTGCGCGACTGGAGCGGCGTCCGCCTGACATCGTTCTTCTCCAGGAAATAAATAACCGTGGTGACGTTGCGGCGAAATTATCTGGCTGTAATGAGTACCTTCAGGCCCGCACTGGGCGCGGTGGTGGCGTTGCCATCTTGGTGCGCCACTCTCTGCCGTGTGGACGCCTGTCGCTCCCTGGCACTGACCTTCTGGAGACCATTGCTGTCCGTGTATTTCCGCCAGGCTGTCCCAACATTTGCGTGGCGAATCTCTACAACCCTCCCACAACAATTGGTCAATAATCCGCATTTATCAATATCGTTTTTCGCTTGGGCCCGAAGAGATTATCGCGGGTGACCTGAATTTACATCATGAACTCTGGGACAGCCATACATATATATATACCATCAACGACTAGAGGCGATAATTTCGCCGCTGTTCTAATCGATATGGATTTTAAACTGGCAAATGACCCGGCGCAGGCAACACGGATCACACATCGTAATTTCTCGTCCCCTGACGTGACTGCGTATCGCACCCCACGCATCTCCCACTGAACATTCGCCCCTTACATAAACTCGGACCACTGCTTAATATCTTACTTGGTAGAGATGGATGATGGCATCCCGCCAATAGCCGACACGCTGCCTCGACGGAAGAAAACCACCTCTGCCCTGCGTAAAGCGGATTGGCCTGCTTCCGCCTCGTTGTGTGAAACCCTCCTTGCCACCGCGTCCACATGGTTGGACATCCGCGGAGGCATCGTACGAGCAGCTGAGCGCCATATCCCGCGCGGCGGCCGTGGAAGCCCCAAAAAAGACATGGACACACGAAATGGAGCAGGCCGAGTCCGTCGCCGAAGCAGCATACAAAGCACACACATCACCTCACCTGGAGACAGCCTGCTTTGAGCCGAATTTACCCGAAAAAAGGAGGAACGAAATCAAGCCTTACGCCGTTGCTCCGCTGTGCTTCTGGAAGCCCGCACGAAAAGACGTGGAGCCTCACCCAGCCCGAGGTGGCGATATCTTCACGGCGTGGCGGCGCCGCACCCTCATCCTCTGGAATTGGTTGTGCTCCGCACTGAACTTGGCCGCATATGCGCCCCGCCTCGGCAACAGGCAAATCTGCTTGTCCGTCATTTTGTGCGGTTTCACGTGCCATACCGCCTTATACTGCTGCTGCTGCTGCTGCTCGCTGCACTCCTTTGTTTCCTGGTGGCTGGGAAATGGATCGGCCTTTCCCGCCGTATGAACTTGACGTGGCCATCCGTGACTCTTTGCTTGGCTCAACCCCTGGCCCCGACGACATGTTGAATGAATTCCTGCACCGTCTCGGGCCCGTCGCGCGTGGCACTCTTAGAAATATGATCCACAACTCCTTCGCAAATGGCAGCCTGCCTGGCTCCTGGAAAATGGAAGACGCTATTCCTATCCCCAAGCCTGGGAAGGATCCATGCCGCCCAGAGAGTTACTGACCTTTTACGCCGCTCTCTGTTTTACCAAAGTTAGCCGAAGGAATGATTCACCGCCGTCTGTCAGCGTTATTGCCGCACCACCCACGTCAATTTGGATTTGCACCTTCGCGTTCTACGTCGGACGTGGTGGCACTTGTTATTGATAAAACTACCCGTGGATTGAATAAGTTTAGCATTGTGGAGTATGAGCGCCCTGGAGACGACGCCCCCACACGACACGCTCCTCGCCATCGCTCGCTTCTGACCTTGATTGATTTTTCGACTGCGTTCGACACCACTGACCATGGGAAGTTATTCTGCATGCTTGACAGACTCCCGCGCCTTGGCCCTCGAACCAAACGCTGGCTGCATAACAACCTGCGGGGCCGCTATGTTAGGGCATGCGCTCGCGAACAGCACTCCCGGAAACAAATCACCTCAGCCGGAGTACTGCAAGGCAGCGTCCCGGGACCCCAACTCTTCCTCTACTGTGTGGATGATCTGCTGCGCCGCATGGGCAGCATCTATTCTGCCTCCGCTTTCATGCACGCTGACGAACTCGCACTCGTTGCCTCAGGTGCGGACATCCATGCATGTGCTGCGGCAATGCAACCTGCCCTGCCCCTTGTGGCCACATGGCTGCCGAGCGCGGCCCAAAAATCAACTTTGATAAGGGCTAAGCCGCTCTATTCTACATCTCTTCAAACACACGGTCTGACAAGGAAATGGTCGATCTCCTTCCTGACAATGGGGGACTACGCATTTAGTCACGCCCAGCGCGCTTACTGGGCAACACGTTCGATCGAATTCTTAATTTTGGCATGCGCACCTTCACCGCTTCAAAGCAGACCATGCCACGCCGCTATCAGCTGCGACCGGTCGCACAAGCTAGTGAGTCCCATCACACCATGCGATACTTTTTGATTGGGTACGTTCATATTGTGCTATTTCATAATGGCGAGGCAATTGTCCCGTGACTCGTCCCCACTTACCTCCATAATATGGAAGTACGGTGCCGCGACGGTAGCAAAACATTCTTTGCCTGAGCGCATCTACAGAAGACACATCTGTCTATTTGGAATCTAATCTTCTCTCGCTCCGGAAGATACTCTGGCGTCGTGCACTCACACAATGTGAGCGCTATATACGCCTCCATGATTATGGGGATTTGCGTTCCCTTATCTACTCGGAACCTATGCCGCCGTCCATGCATGGGAAAGCAACGACATCGATCCCGCTTCCGAGAGATGCTGTTATTAATGGATTGCTACGCGTCTGTGACATTATTGGGAAACCCCACAACCACATTTGCGCGCCTCTTGCCCAACATCGAATTTTTCCCTGGGACACTGTGGGTTGTAATAAAGTGGAATTTTATCAGCCACTCTTTGCCAAAGACGCCTCTGACGATGTCAAGCGCACAGCTTTTTATTCTACTCACTCCTCTTTGGAGGATTGTGATTTTGAATTGTGGACGGACGGTTCTTCATATCTCGCTGCGCTCGCATCTGGATCCGCTGCGCTATTATATGACTCCACCACGACAAATAATCTCCCTGTGGAGGTCCATCGTGCAGCAGCTGGCAGCCTCGCACGCTCATATAGAGCAGAGTGCCTTGCGATCAAAAATGTTTTTAGACATCTCATACCTCCTTGTCTGGAAAAATCCCAATCGCCCACACGAATGCTGGAGGAAACGGACTCCCTGTCGGCAATTGAGGCACTCCGCGTTGCCCCACCGACCGTGCGAGACCGCGTTACTGAAGAAATTTGAATTATGCTGCTTTCCTTGATGAAGCGAGTTCACCCTGTGGATTTTATATTTCCCATCACACTGCGGTATTCCACGCAATGAGGCCGCTGAGGACGAAGTCACGATTGCACGATCCCTCTCGCAGGACTGCGTCACTGCCTGGCACGTGGGCTTCTTTGCCGCCGTCAAGAGGTTATAATGGAAGGATGTGCAGGAGAAAAAGGAAGTCGCACACACCGCGTGACAGGCGGCTGTCGGTGTGGCGAGGACTCTATTCCTGATCTCCTCGCAGAAATAGGGCATCGAATCGCGACTTTGTGCGCAGGGGCGATGCGACTCCTGCCCTCTCTTCGAGAGGCCCGCACGCGCCCCGCAGATCACAAGCAACCCTTTATGTCGGTGGTGCCGTCCCTTCCTCGCACTGAAGAGGCGGGACCCCCCCGACCTCCTCCGCAACCCCCACCAGCCGCTGAGCCCCGACAATACACGGGAAATTCTATCGCACATGCTGTTGGAATGCCCCGCCTTCCACCACTGAGCGTTGGAACCCTTGAAGGAAATCCATGTCGCATGACAGCGTTATTTGAGACGGTAGAGTTGGCCGTGTTTCTGCGGACAGCCCTCGGGCGATCAATGAATAGCGGTCGCGTCGCGCGGGGATTCTTTTTCCTGCGATTTGTGTTTTTTCTGGGGCTGGGTTTGATTAAGTTTGTTGTGGAGATATTGGCGTGGACAAATGTGTTTTTTTTGGTTTTGGGCCCCCACCCGCGGGTTAGGGTTAGAACGGGTATTGGGTGACTTTTCACACTTCTGATCACCAGAGGTGCTAATAAAGTTTTTAATCGGGCGGGCGTACGTGGGTATGCATATATTTTGGTTTTTAGGAAATTGTATCGTGTCCTTTTCGGCTGTTTTTTACTGATGTTTTGTTGTTGTTTTGTGCATCGTAGGAACTTGTGAAAAGAATGATCGCGGGAGAGCTGGCTAACTTAATTAATGTATGTATATCCTGATAAATGAAGGCATTCTTTATGATACTCTCTACCGTATGAATCTTTTGGGAAGAACGCGACTTTGTAGGGGCAGGGAGCCGATAGAGGCCAGATAATGTTTGTTTTTATTTTTTACAGACACTGCCAGGTAAGTTTAAGGAAATGGCTTTGGTTCCCTGCACACCCTCCGAGTGGTGTGATATTGGCGCCCGTCTCTGGGACATGGTGTGCCAGTGTGGCGAGACCCAGGTGCAGGTGACGTTCATTAATGGTAACCTCATGTCGGATGAGACGTTAACTGTGGCCGCATCATCGACAGGCTTATGCGTGTTCCATGGACCTATCTCTAAAGCATGGCAGGATTCTACTATTATTGGAAATATTGCGAATCTACGGGCGACTCAGATCCCTAATTTAGGGACACAAGCGCTCCTGCCCGCTATGGAGGCAGCCCGGGAGTTGGGGCACCAACAAGGGCTCATCACTGCTGAAGGGAGCGCCTGAATTTTGATTACGCAAACGCCGTCGCGGACGTGCAGAATCGGAATGCTCAGCTTGACTCGCAGGTTGATGAGGCGCATATTAACCTATCGGTGAGGGAATCCAATACCGCCGGGGCCGGCAACCAGGTCCTAGAACTACAACAGGAGTTGGAGGCCGCTCACGCCCAATTACGGGAGCGCGAATTCAACTTGGGAAGGCTCACGGGTCAACTCCAGGAACGGGGGGCACGCCAAAATGCTCAACAACCCGCGCGGGATGCGGAGACGGCGGGGCGGGACGAGTCACCCGCTACTCGACACGTTGTCAACGGTGGCGTATCTACACTACCGCATCAAACGGATATCTTGATGGCTGGAGGCGTGCCTAGCAGCGCGGCCCGACACAGTTCGGCGACTCACAGACGCCCTCACAGCAACGTTGGGAGACCACATTTCCACCCTTCCATGCCGTTGCCTTCCCGCACTTCTCCCCTGGAAGCCCAATCACCTATGGAAGAGGACCGCGGTTTCTGCGCATTCGACGCCACCACGTGGCCCACGCGTATATGGAATGAGGACGCCTCCGGAGTCGTTTTCGACCTCCGGTGCGCATACCAATGCTGGCAACAGGAGGACGAGCAGGTTAAACTTGCCTTTGACAATTTGGTCGAGTGGAT